AAAAGCCAAAGCCAAAGCCAAAGGACTTAACGTCCGAGTTGGCTTAAATGAAGTTGCATTTAGCTGCCTGCTGAAGTGAAATTATGCGGGATGCGGTGAAAAGTGTGCCATAATTTGTGGCTAGGAGGTGGTACCCCGCACCCCGTACCCCGTCTACTCGGCCAGACACCGTCAACAGTGTCATTATTGTCATATTATTACCGCCTTCTGCCTGATCTTTTCAACGCCTTCCTGCCTCGCTCGTCCTGGAAAAGTTAAGCCTGCGTAGAGTAAAGTTTTCTAAGTACTTGGGACAAGGCTTGGCGTCGACAATGATGACTACGAGGATGTCGGCTCCAGCGCCACTGCTCCTGTCCTGCCCTCCAGTCAACCCAACTGGCTGTCTGTCATCCGTAGCTCACCTTGGCCGCCACAACAGCGACATGTTCTGCTGCAGTTTTGCGGCAAGTTGTCTCCAGAATATCACTCCTCCTGCCTTCCGCGTCACGTGTAAGTGCCACGAACGGCGCTGCATCCCGCCACCTAGCCCGCACAGAAGCCTTCGAGACAGGCAGCCAGCCCAACCACCTGGCCACACGCACGTAATTGTCGCAAAAACTTTGCGTTAAGAAAATTATAGAAGGAATGTGCAGCGGAAATTCATGGCTGGTTAAACTTTTTACATGAAAGCGCCGCGAGTAGCTGCTGCAAACTGCTGACCAGGTGAGAAGGGGAGTCCCAGAAGCGGACACTAGCTTAAATCGCTGCGTTAATTGGCTGAGCTGGGGTTGCGCTGCATTCGCGAAAAACCGGAGCGTTGTACGTGACAATTGCTAATAGGAAATGTTTCGCCAGACTCGCACGCAGATTTAATCTGGTTGAAGGAAATGTTGGAAGTTCTTCAATGTGATATTCGAACAAAAGTATTGAAGATACCTCTTGGCTTGGTGATGTATTGTGCAACTGCAGGATACACACTCACACACTCCCACACTCACACACTCGCACACGTACAAGCGCTTAGATGTGTGGACTCCCATACAAACACTGGCGTAAGAGGTCCTTCTTCCTTAACTGCTTTCATATTACTCCTACTACGCTCTGCCGCTGCTACATTTTTGTCTTAAATGATTGCCATAAAAAATAAGTGCACATTATTGTTACAGCATGGCCGAAAGACTGAGAAAGATGAGGGAGAGAGAGAGAGAGGGCGAACCGTACGGACAGAGACAGAGTGAGGTCGGCGTTCAGAGGCACTTTGCAGTCATCCAAACGCGGAGTGTAACAAATGATTTTGGCAGCTTTTTTTGCATTATCAGCTTTTCAGAGCACCGCCGGGAAACCCTTAAATGATTTACATGGCTAACATGGCTAAACGGCTAAATAACTTACTTTTTGTAAGACGTGGAGCAGAATTTCACAAATGTTCTGTATCAAAAACTTTGTATGCTGTCTGGAATACCCAACCTTAGACGGAAGTTGCACATGGTGATTTGTAATGATTTCGTACGTTGCAATAACATTTACCAGCAATTTTCACTCCACTACATTCGCTCTACTTACCTATGAACTTTAAGCGCGCTTCTATTAATATCTTCTGTTGCACGAGTACTTCAGCAATATGCACATGTATTTTTAGAACATTTTGTGTTTGACAACCACAGGGGGAGCTCATTATGCCAGCTTATTTGCGATATTTTTCGCCATTTAATATTCATAACATTCAACCCTTAAGCCCTTCGTTATTCTTGGCTGTTTTTAAGCACGCTCCCACTGGAACTTTCCTTGCAGATGAGTAGCGCTTGCCCTGGCATTTGACAATGATTTCTGCTTTTGGATGGCACTGCATTGCGGAAAGGATGAATGCCTTGGCAAGGAATTTAGAGGTCCGGGCGAAACAAAGGGCATAAACGGCAAAGGGAGGCGAGTGAATGACACTCTAGGACTTACGGTTCTGGAGGTGGTGCTAATTTAGCAGAGGGACAGGTGAACCAGGAATTTGGATGCAGGTACAAAGGATCATTCGGTCAGTCAATCGCCGGACTATGGCACGGAGTTGAATGTCATTTCCCTGAATTTCATTTTGTAAGCCGATTGTGACCCCCTGTGACCCCCCTACCAGGAAAACGACATTCGATTCCTTTTGCCAGTTATTTCCAAGTATTCTGGAAAATCGGAGTGTACCCAACATTACGCATACGCCGTGTGGCACACAAGCATACTAAGCCATAAACGACTATTGTTTTCCAGCAATTCGATGCATACGTTGGATACCATAGAATATTTGCAATTTGGCATGGACTTAAAATGCAAACAGAAAAAACAACACCAATATCTGGCGTAAGCGCCATATTGCTCATACGCACTGTTGCTAACCAGCAAAATAACTGGCAAACTGCAGTGCTCTGCTCTAAAGTCAACAGGGAAGGAAAATATGTGCGACAGAGAAGGCTGCTAAATAAATTTGCTGGAATAAATCAATATAAACAAAACGAATTAAAATCATAAATGAAAATCAAATTTGAAATCACTTTTATTTTTTCTGCCCACTTCCTTTCACATACACATGTGCACATATACCTCTCTTTGTTCAAGCCATAAATTAATTAAAAACAATACAGAAGGCATAGAAAAACAACGATTTTACGCACATCCATGGCTTTTTCGCAGTCTTGCAGTTACTTAGTTTGCACATCGCGGTCGACTTCGTCTACTAATACTTTCCCCCCCACAATAAAGTACACCCACTTGAGCTGACACTTGAGCTCTATTATATACATATGTATATTGGACACAATATTATTACCATAAAAATCTGATGGGCGGACATCGAAGGCACTCGAAATCGGCGATAAGGACACGCACCTACGAAAACAAGCCACTCGTCGTTCTCAAAGAAAATACATCGAGGATAAACATCAAGAAAAAGCTGTAGTCGAGTGCCTCGACTATGAGCTACCCCCTAGAAATAGTGGTTCCAAATAGAATGGTTTCAGCATCGAATGACGTACTCGAAATAGGGCAGTAAACATAAAGCGTAATGAATAAAATATGGGTGCAGAACCTATAAAAATACTATTTGTAATCATAAAACCGTACATCTCTTTTCTACATGAAAATTTGTTTCCATTCGATGACGTCCATGATTATTCAAATGCCATCAAAGTGGGCGTTGAATTTGATATCATGCATAGCTTTCGGAACTTTCACTTGGACACTCATTTCGTTCGGCATAGCAGTAAAATCAACAGCTTAATATTTCATTATCTCATTATTTCGCAGGCAATGGAGGAATTACCGTCTGAGGAATACAAAACCGGAAGTTACTTCCTTCAAAAAGTGAAGCAGGAACAAGCCCGTCTGTTGGAGCGAGCTACTCTTCTAGAAAAAGACGCAGATTTGTCCAAAAGTTTTATCCACAAGGACATCGCTGGCCTATTGAGATCGGCGTCTGGCAAGGCCCGTCTATTGGCCACTCAGAAGATGAAGCAGTTCGAGGGCCTGTGCAACGTCCATCTGAATCCCTTGTCAGACGACAAGTTTCCCGTGACAATAGACGACTTGCAAGGATTCTGGGATATGGTTGGCCTGCAGGTGGAGCAAGTGGATGGCATGTTTGCTAATATTGAACGGCTCAAGGCTAACGGCTGGAAGACCATCAAGTCCGATAAGGAAGGTCCACACTCCAAGAAACTATCTACCAAGACCGGAACTCCGACCAAGCAGGCGAAGACCGATGAGCCGGAATCGATTGGCGACTCCAGTTCCACTCCACGTGCAAACAACGACCTTTAAATTGTCTCTTTAAGCGCATTTCAAATAAACACGCGTGCTACCCACAAAGGACACCCACAAATGCTTTGAAATTTCATAGTTTTGTATCTTTTTTTTTCGATTTTTGCACAATGTTATGGAGCTATTGGATACATTTAGAACGTATATATGGGACCCCCTTGATGGACCACTTCTATTATAACATTGTAATTACATGAAAAAGGCAATAAACATTGTTAGCTACATTTTATTTCGGCCAATTAACATGCGAGCATCAGCCAGTTCAGGCAATCATTACAAAATTCCCAATTCGAATGGCTATTTTGTGCCATTTTAGCCAGCAACTTAAAAACTGCCGACTGATGCTGGGGACGGATCTCCCCACTTTAACCGGTTGCTTAGCCCAGTGACACCCCTTTTTGCTCCACATCTGGGGGCTTCGTAGTTCCGAGCCGCGTGCGATCACGAAGCGCATAAATGGCATTTGACACGTGACAGAAATACTCAATTTTAATATTTGTACCGCTGTGCTTTGGGCCACAGCTTCCTTTGGTCCAACTGTGTGTGTGTGTGGTCGTGAGGGCGCGCACTAGTGTGTGTGTGTGTGCTTGGGTTAAAGTGAATTTCATTTGGATTTCTGCGTACCGCTATTGTTTCTCCGGCATCATTTGCGCGCTGCTTGTTCTACGACTATGGAACATAAACTCGTGCATATAGCCACACAGGCTTATAGCCAGGATGCTTGAGGGTTCCAGCTGCCCAGCTCCAAGTCCAGGGTATCTGCAGGACTGGCGCTCTTTAAATTTGTTTGTCCCGCATGTGCGGACATAATAACTGCCGGCAACCAGTTCTGGCCAAAGTCAGGCCAGTGCTCTCGTCCAGCGCAGGACCTGGGCCCCCATCAACTTTTGACTGCCCATTAAATATTATGGCAATGCAAACGAATCAACAAAGCCAAACAACAAGGCCTACATACAGCCGACGAAAATCAACAGCGGCAATCATTGGACGGGTATTTTGCATATTTGGCCATTTTGGCTATTTCTGGCGACGTGACGGCAAATAAAAGTTAAATGAAAATTAAACTATGCAAATACAAGCAAATTTTGTGGCCGAAAGGGGGTACGGGGCTGCGAATTTCGGGAGGATTCCCGCGGCCTGCTGGCGTTTGAATTGCCGAATTGGTTGCCACGAAAGGAAATGGAAATGGAAATGGAAAAACATCGATATTATCGTTAATGAGCAAAACTCAAAACTCAAAACCAAAGTATTAGACCGTTGTCTGAAAAGTAGAGTGAAATAAGAGATTATAAGTTTGAGGAATTTGTATCTCATACTACCAATTTTGTGTGCGATGAATGCTTCGGCTGAAAACGAACTGAGTGCTAGCTACGATTGTGATGACAGTGATGATCGGTGGTCTAGTGGTCGGATCTACTGACCCTGGAGTCCTGAACACAGCGAGTGGGCAACGATGCTCCCAGGACGGAGTCCTGGTTAAGAATGTCCCGCCTGAAGTGGCCGGAATGCGCGCCGTTTCGGACGGTGTTCCTGTTGGCCTGTCCACGGCTTACCTGCGTCTGGTCATGAGAATGGCGTATATAGTGACCCTGGCTCTGACTACGGATGCGGCTGGCCGCCTGGAGCTCGCGGGCGGCATTGGAGTTGCACTTGGTCATGGGATCGTCGAAGAAGCCCTCGTAGAGCACAAAGTTGTTGCCCTGCGGAATGGTGCGAACAAGGCCGTAGTGCTTGGCCATGAAGCCCAGCAGCTTCTTGGACGGTCGGTCCACGGAGCACTTGCTTGCTGACCAGCCCTGCTGCTCCAGCATCCGCTGGAAGAGCAGCTTGCCCTGGCCACAGCGCTGGCGGCTTTCGTGCACATAGAAGTCGAGAATGGCTGGCGTTTGTTTGGCCCGTCGACAGCAGCCCTCCTGGTCGAAGAGGAATAGGTCCTTGGTGCCCACCTTGAGCAGCCCGGTGATGGCCCAGTATCCCGCCGCGTCGTCCGCCATAAGGTAGACCACCTGGTCGGATGCCAGCTTGTCGGCTGTGGTCACTGGCTGGCGGAGACCCTGCGCATCCGCCGACAGCTTACCCATGACGTCCAGGATCTGGCTTAGCTGGCAGCTGGGCATCGTCGAGTGGCCCCGTTGCGGGTTCGCGATGAACGGGTGGGGGCGATGTCGCAGTTGGGTGACCGTGGGACGCAGCGAGTGCGCCTGGACCCGGATGATCGGCTGCGGAAAGAGCTGTTTTATGTCAAAGGCGAACTCCACCATCTTGGTTTCCGGCTTGATCCCGCTTTGATCCCGATGACTTAGAATTTGGCGTTTGAATTGGCCGTCTGATTCCCAGGCTCTACCGACTTATACACAGCCAAAATTTTTATAATTTTACTCATCGCTTTCGTACTCGATCGAACAAAATCTGCTCTATGATGCAGAGCAGTCGACTTGGGAGCAAATGTAATCCCTCAGGCTGCTTTGATGGCCTTTTTTTGGGGAATTTCCATACCATTTTACATGCCTCAAAAATGTTGCGTATCATTGATGCTATGCAATGTATAATTTAATATGTCAACAAAAAAAAAGGATAACAGACGTGGGTAAAAGTAAACAGCTCAATGGAGCATAAAGCAAAAGACAAAACCAAGAAGTTTATGGAGAGCCTTAGACCTTTTCAAGGACATTTCCCTTCGATCTCGAAGGCAACCGACCAGGACGAGAATCGGATAATTGTAAGATATATAGATATAAGAGCTGACATGGACTCACAGCCAGGGCATTAGTGCTATTATACTTACAGTGGCTCAGTAAATTAAAAATTAATACTTTTTAAAGTATTTGCCTTAAATGAATTAAATTGGTCACTGGTAGCCCACATTTAAGTTTAATTATCAGTGGCCATTTAGTTGGCTTAAATATGCATGCGATAAAAAATAAATATTAAACATAAAGTTCCATTAAATCCACATTTTCCAGCTTAGCAAATGTACCGAAAGATAACAAATATGTTGGGTCTATATGTGGTGGAGTGCATTTATTCCGGGTTTATAGCTGGGCACTCAGTGCTCCCTTGTCATCTTCCGCTGGCCAGAAGGCTAAAAAGTCATTGACCGTGAAGTTGGAACGGCAGCAGCTCGGAATGGGACAGTAATCCACTGAGAAGGCATGCTTGATTGCACTAACCCCATCGCCCGAGGTCCTGGGTCCTGGATCCTGGATCCCGAGTCCTGAATTCTGAGCCCTTCCACATTTTAATATTCGGCCTTGTATTTAAACTATTTCTGGTCGTGTGCATATTTTTCGATTTTGACTCCGCCCCGTGCCGCTTCCGGTTGCCAGAATTTCATTCCGGGTCAGATGTTGGCCGTAATGGTGGTGGTGGTGGTGCCAGGACGAACGGAGCAGCGGGGTGGGAAATACCCCAACTGATTTAACTGATTGGCTGGGCTGGGTCTGCTCGAGTCGGAACGCCTCTTTAATTTTTGTAAGTTTCCACGCAATCCTGGCCTTGAATTTTGACCAGTGAACTTCTGATTGCAAGCCCCATTCGCAAATCACACAGTTGTCTGGTCATAGAGCCTGGCATATGGCTTCTAACGATGGGGCCAACAAATCTCCCCTGCCCTGTGCTTTCTCTTTGGCTCTTGCAATCCAAACGTTAATGGTCTGTCAATTATCGCCACCCAGTGTGTGTAACGATAAGATATCGCCCCCAGACGCAAAACATTTCATCCGCACCCTTCCTGCAACCCTGCATCCTTGTGTCCTGGTGTCCTGGTGTCCTGTTGTCCTGGTGTCGTGGTGTCCATTGCTCCGGGCCCCAGTATCCGTGTTCCCTCAACACTTTAGTACATCATTTAGTTCGAATTAGTTATGGACATAGAGCACACAGCTCTCGGGCGGCCGAAGACACACAATCGAATGAAACAACTTTACGCACAGCCAGGATGCGGCCGGGAATTCCGAGTAGCAGACGGGTGAGGAGGTCGGGGGTCGACTCTGGTTGCCCTTTTTACATTTGTATTTATGGTCAGGCCAAGACACTGCTCCAAGACAATGATGCCTCTGCGGGCGAACACGAAATGGGCAATCGGCCAGGCGGCATTGAAAGAAAATGCTGATGACTATCGGCGGGTTCCAATGGGTTCCGATCATAAACGTATACAAATATGGCTTATTGCACTAGACCTTTTGTAGCAACGTAGTACCGAATAAAAGTGTAAACTATCACGAACATATGAGCTTGGAACAGAACTTGGTTGGCTTGGAAAGCTATTACTCAGACGATTTCAGTGTAGCTAAACATCATAAACTATGCGAAATACTGTGCACTGTTGCCATATTGTAATGGTTTTCCAACCTTTTTTTCCCGCAGTGCACTGTGGCATTCCGTATGAGGAAATGGTGGAAGTTCACTCCTCACCATCCTCATTTATTTTCCAGCCCCTGCCTCTGCCTCTGTCTGCGTCTATGGATCCGGATCTGAATCCGAGTCCGAGTCCGAGTGCGCCTCCGACTCCCGGATTGTCTGACTGAGTACCCATTAAAGTATGACGAGTGGCGGAGAAGTCCTTTGGCCTCCATTCCCTTGCTCATCTATTTAGAGGCTCTTAGTTGGGTTTTTGGTTTCCCTGGAGGTGGCGACGGCCGTGAGCTCCTCCTCGAGTTTGTTCTACCATCCCAGCAAGCACCGGAAGTGGGTTCACCCCATTGCGCCTTGTTTGTGTTGCGTAAGTATTTTTATTTCCTTTGGTGCGTATTGGAATTTTATTATCAGCTCATATAAGTGCAATAAAATGTTGATATACGCGTGTGAGTGTCGAGCTGGTGAAAGGGAAAGTAGTACATATGTATGCGAACTTACCGACCCCTGACTGGACCAAAACTTTCTCCCAACGAAATGAAAAGTTTGCGTTTGGTTTTGCCTTGAAATATTTTCAGTTTTGCTTTATTTATTTGATGTATTCTTATGCTGACGCATCCTTTTCGGTATCATTAGTTTATTGTTGTTATTCGCTATTATTATTTCCGTAAGCTATGATAATTATTTTTGAAATAGTTTGCTTTTCTGAGAGCTTAGCCTACGTTTCATTAAGTTAATAATTCTCATAGTTTTCTAGAAAAAAAAATCGATTTCCGCCCTCCTTTAAAATAGTTCTCATTTTCAACTCAGCTTGTCCATTTGCGACTACACCTCAGTTATCTTACAATCTTACAATTTCGTATATATGCTTTATTGGTAGAGAGATCTCGGGGGACCCTATATGTATGCTATATCCCATTCACAAAGTAACGATAACAGACAACAATTCAACGACTCGAAAACCCAGGCTACAATTTTGATAAATCAACAGTAATGTGTAGTGTGTACCTATGTTGCTGTACGTATGTATCTATTAATATTTAGTTCGAATTGCAAAATTTACCAATTAGCTATAATTAATAAGCGTTTTCTTTGGAAGAACTTAACTTAGGAGCATTTCGCACTGATCTGAAAGTTGAACTATAGTCTTAGCCTAGTCCTATCGCCTAGAGTTTTTCCCTTCGAAAAAAAAACCCAATTACCCTCTCACACTCACACTTAGTCAACTAACACACACGCGCACACACACACTGAAGTAAACGCGTATATTGAGTTGGAGTTCTTAGGAAAGTATAAAAACCGTTGAGCTTTTCCTCGAGTTTCCTACGGGTTCCATGGAAATTTGAGCCGGGGCTTGCTTACGCCTAGTACACGATAAATGGAATCGTTTTATAAACTACTACACGCGCTGGAGTAATTACCTATCAATTATTTGTCACATAGAAACAGTTAAAAGGACGGCTGTTGAAACCAGGGACCAAACGGCTGTAGTCCTGCCGACATGCCTCTGTGAATCCAAGTCCAAGTCCAAGTCCTTTGCGGCAGGACACAGGCTTCGGTCCGTGTTCCAAAACTCAGTTTTGATATTCCCTATACACGTGCGTGTACGCTCACACCGATACTGGCTACTCTATCTGCTAAGGTAACCCTCATATTGCTTCCAGCAATGCTATAGCCTTTGCTCTAGATACCCTGATTCCCCTGCTCCCTGCTTTGCATCCAGGCTCCCCTTGGTACTATTGATATATACCTACGCATATGCACATATAGGTACCTTACCTATAGGTGGTGAGTATATCTAATCTCTAGTCTAGAGTGACTAGCCTATGCACGACCTCCGGACCTTAAATGCTCCTATATATGCGAGTAAATCCTCTACGAGTACATCAAACCGAAAGTCCAACTGAAAGTGACCTCTAAGCGGGACTTTCATCGGGGTCGGCGCCCCTAATATCGTATTCATTGTGGGGCTCATTTGATTTGTGGTGTCTGTTTGTGTGTGTGCGTGCCACTCTGCAGCCGAAGGTAGCGACTCCATCCAGGGTGCATCAATCGGGATGCTCCATGTGGACGGACGGTCAGCCAACTTGGAGCATTCGTATGTGAAGTGTTTGTGGTGGAGGGCGCCGACCGCGAGGCCCGCTAGCTACTGTATCCGATTTAACGGCGATCTAACTGCGATTTAGCTAACTAACTCTAGGTGCCGACACCTCGCATGGGTGTGGAACAATCCGACCTCTAGGGATATGAATTTCTTTACACTCGCTTACCTAATCGTATTGTGGGAATCGGAAGGGGTTCTGTGTGCCGTGGGGCTTGGATTTTGGACTTTGGGTGGGAGGAATAGCTTGCGGCTCGTGATATGTGATAGGTTGTGGGAGCAGCCTACTCTGGAGGACCCTACTCCATCCTGGTGAAGCGAATCGTATGCCTGGCGTTGCTTACGGCTACTTTGGAATCTTAATCGCGTGCTTGCTGTGTTGATTATATCGCTACTTTGAGTTAGCTAATCTAATTGTTAAAAATTGTACCTAGCCTACAGCTCGCAATCCAACCTGCAACCTGCAACCTTCACGCTCCTCGCTCCACGCTCCACGTAGCATCTAGTTAAGTGGTATGTACAGATCTATTTACACAAGTAGCTGAACCTTAAAGCTATTGGGAAACGCAACGAACGACAAACGAAACTGGAGCCCGATTGGGATCCCTGCTGCCTCGATTGCCGCCATTTGGCACACTGCGCCATCTGCTCCTGGACACGATCCACTCCGCAAGGGACCGCTCATCCAATTGGCTATTGCTGGTGACGTGCTCGCCGCTGATAATCACCCCATATGCATGATCTTCTTGAAGGCCTTGCGAAACTCGGGATTGAATATCGTGTAGATCACCGGGTTCACGAAGCTGTTGATGTAGCCCAGCCAGGTGGTCATCATGTAGGCGGTGAGCCCGGGTCGGCAGTCTTTCTTGAACTTGGCGCACATGGCGTCCATGATGTTGCAGCTGAAGAACGGCAGCCAGCAGAAGAGGAAGACACCTGTTCGAAGGTATACACACGTATGTGATGGCATATATGGATAAGGATATGGCAGGGCGCAAGGACATGGCCTAAACGGTGGAGGGGCTCAACTTGAACTTACCCAAAACAATGGCCAGTGTTTTGGTGGCCTTGCGCTCCTTTTTCGCCGACGACTTTTCGCGTTTCTTTTTGGAGGCCTTGTGCACCTTGTATATCGTGAATCTGTGCGCCACGCGAAGGATAATAGGTATGTATTGCATTTCCAAGGAAAACGAAACAAACAAATCAGCACAGAAAAGGAGAGAGGTGGCCAACACAATAAACTGGCCAAACTAATAACTGTAATTAGGGGCGATGGACGGCGTCACTCACCTTGACGCCTGCGAGTTCTTCTTATCCTTGCGCGAGGACGTTTTCGATGTAGTCGATAGCGTCGAGTCGTTGCGTGCCAAAGTCATGGCCTCCTGCACTCCGTACCGCACAAAGGACAGCGGCTTCATGGCGACGCTGCGAACGGAAGTCGATCGGATTCGGAATGAGAACTCAACTGCGGCATTATGTACTACTGGTGCTATTTTTGGGCCTGATTGCCTACATTTCGACACGCAGAGTGCGAGGATTAAGTGTCAGATTTCACTACGCAAGAAGTCTGTGGCAAACGTGGGTTTTTTTGGCAGAGCCACTTAATCAAACTATTGTGCAACCAGGCTACCAAATATTCAATTGATCTTTTCGTAAGGCTGCTACACATGCCCTTAATAATTATGAAAAGTAGTGAGAAGTGGCGGAACTACTTCTGCGATTCGCTATTTACATATGCATTTACAAATCTATCTGTTTAAATAAAATAATATATAATAATATATATAATAGTCAACCACAATAACCCGACATATTTAATTAAAGTTTCTATTTTTATAAACATTAATAATTTGGACAAAAGATGTGACAGTTTTGATGCGGCCAAACTCTTTGTCTGTTTTCATTTACTGTTTTGTCCATAAATAATGTCAGTAGATTTGTGCACTTAAAGAAATTTTAATTTTCTACGTTGTGTAGTGTAAGCTGATTAAATACCTACTACTTAATGAGTTATATTATGAAACTATGAGCAAAAACTTCAATGCAAGCTTAATTTCGTCGGGCTACAAAAACGAGTAATAAGTCCACAAAAATTGGGTAAATATTCAATTCAAAGTAAAATGTGTTAAATAAATGAGTGCCAATGCGGTAAGCTATCTAGATATTGAAGCGAAATAAATGTAACTGATAATGGGAAGTATTTTTTGTAAGTAAATTTGCAACGGCTCTAGTTTCCGATAAAATAAGTTAGCTAGTATCTTATGGATACTAGCTGCCTTAATTGTAGGTTTCTCTTTCTGTGCATTAAATAGTGTCTATCTGGGCTGTGTAATCCGGTAGGGAAGGGTACTATATAACTAGGATAGGGCATTTTTTCTCTGTGCACCAACTGTTACTACGCGTCCATCTATGTGGGCGGTCTACGGGGGCAGGCTTACGGATTGAATGCCAAATACCTGGAGCTATCGACACCGACTGACCTGAGGGCGGGTTCGCCGCGCTTCGGCGAGTCGTCGCCGGTGGGGCGCCGCTGGCTGCTGACGCTGGACCGCTGGAGGGTGGCGCCACTGGGCAGCGGACTGTCCGGCGGCGAGCCGCTGCTCCGCGGAGCGCCGGATGTGGCTGCCGAGGCGGAGGCGGGCGCCACGCCTGCAAGGACATCGTCAACGTTTGAGGCTGCATAACCAGAATCATGATTACCATTCGGATCGGCGACGACCAGCTGCGGCTGAGTGGTGATTTGGGCCACAACGCTGCTGCGAGTGCGATATGGCAATGTGGCGATGTGGACCGATGTGTCGGTGGTGTTTTCCAATTAATGGTGCCGCGACCATCCATCCATCAATCAATCAAACGGCGATGGACGATGGACGACGGACATCGTTGGGGCGGCGGGTGGTGAAGCAGCAGGATCGGCGTTGATGGAGGAAGAAAAGGACGAAAAAGACGGAAAATCGGGGCGCAACGTCAATTAAAAGCAAGGCGAGATTGAGTTTTAATAAAGTGACGCATTAATTGAATTATTGAGAATTATTTTTCTCCGCTATTGGCTGTGATTTCTTTGGGCCGGTAAAGTTTCGCGGTCTTGGTTGCCACCCATCTCAGCCCAACGGGTCGGTTCGGTTCGGTTCGGTTCGGATCGGAGCCCATCCCAACCCTTTGTGCATCCGGCCTGTCATTAATGGTTTCATTTCATGTCCTTATTGGATTAAGCAGGCCATCAGGATGCTAATTGGCTGCGCTTAAGGCTCGCACTTAATGGCGGTTTCAGCCAGGAATTGGGAAAAAGATACGGATGCGGGTGATGATGATGGGCCAGGGGTCCTTTTTGCAGGACCTGATTGAAAGTGCAGCACGCTTTTATGTCGGCAATTGAGTGCCGCCGTGGCAGGACGAACCCTGCCATTAGATTGACAGTTTTCCATGGGCATGCATCGCCTGCTGGCCTGCTGGTCTGCTGGTCTGCTGGTCTGGAAGGAAGTGCAGTGGAGACCACTCAGCAGAAACAGGCTTATCTTTTACGTGTTTGGGGCACGTGCCAGGGTTGCCAGGTTGCCAGGCTGCCAGGTTGCAAGTTGCAAGCGGACAAGGATGCGGACACGGAAACGAAACTGCTGAGCTGCGAACTTTTCCAGGGCCATCGGAGATAGACGTTTGGAGTTTGCTGCGAAATTGGCCGAAATTCACGTTAGATATAAGTGGGTTTTGCAAATGTATACGTCCAATCTGACTCGCCAACGTGTTTATATGCCAGAAGTAACGTCAGCCGCCAAAGGAAGGTCCAAGAAACAAGAAAGACCTAAGGGGTATCGTAAAATGAGCACTCACTTGCCCGTCTCCTCGACTACGGTGGCCAGCATGAACTCGGTGGACTTGTCGTTCACGATGACGTGGCAGTCGTCGATGTCCGGCGAGATGGCGTTCTCGTCCTCCTCCTCGTTGGAACCGCTGGCCGTGTTGGTGGCGGCCTCGTCGGGCAAGATCCTGCTGGCGTGGCGGCTGCTGTCCAGGGCCGTCTCCGCCAGGCGCCGGGTCTGGGCGATGTTCTCGATGACGCTGCCGCCCGTGAGCTCCGATAGGTGGGGCTTGCGGGCCGCCCGCTGCTTCCGCGCCCGGCTCCTCAGCGCCTGTGGGTGGGTTCGAGAGGTGGAATACAGTATGCGGCATGGCAAACACAGGAAACGCGCTACGGGATGCGGGACACGGGTTGCGGGGGAGACCGGATTAGGCACCGCCATGCTGCGCTTGCATCCTCCGGATATTCACCCCGCAGTCAGCAGCAAATGGGCACAAACAGAAAGCATGGATCTGCGCCAGCAATATTCATTCCACTCGACTCGGAAAAATCCGATTTTAATTGCGGTCTTTTAATAAAAGCGCTTGAAATGGTTGGGGAAAGGGAAAACCGTAGGAAAACTCGCTCTAGGAACTCAAAAACAATGTGATTTCTAGTTATCTATGTAGCTAGTACGAAGTTGGAGTGTTTGGAGCAACTAAAATACTTGGAATAATACAAATCTGTATGCTGCTACTCACCTTGAAAATGTTCCAGTAGAGAAACACCATTATGATGCAGGGTATGTAGAAGCTGCTCAGCGAGGAGTAGAGTATGAAGTCGGCGTTGTAGAAGGCGCACACATCGGGCTCGCGGTTGGGCGTGTTGTTGAGGCCCAGAACTATCGGCGAGCCGATGGCAGCCGATATGGCCCAAACCAGCAGTATCGTAAGGCAAACGCGGCGGCTATTTTTGTGCTTGGCGTACTTTATTGGCTGTGTCACAGCGATGTATCTGTCGGATGTATCCGTGGAATGTGAGTGTGAATGTGGGTTCATGTGGATCGCCGACGAAGGGGCTGCAGACTCACCTGTCTATGGAGATGGCAACTAAGTTGAATATCGATGAAGTAGAGCATATCACATCCATGGCTATATAGAAATCACAAACGACGTCAGGCAGGGCCCAGGCTCCATTTACCTGCAGGAACGAGGAAGTGGATGTGGATGAGGGCACACTTCATTTGTTGGGCACTTAATCGAGTCGGGAATGGAGCTGTATCGGAATGCCCGCCCTTTGTCGAATATTAATAACAATATTTTCTCATTTCCCGCCTGCTGCCACAAATTAGTTTTGGACTCTATCTCAGCATGGACGTCTCCGGCAGCATCTATGGCCCAGCCCGAGTGCGGACTCCATAAAAACCTCTAACAAAAACGCCAGGAATTCCCCAAGCCAAACAATTTGTAGCACACAAAGCACATAAAAAGGCCGAGTGGTCCACCAGTTGGCTCGAACTTGATGTGGATACATTTGGGTGAACCCAACGTGGCGTGGCTGCACGTGTGCACTCCCTATAACCCGTGCACGGGGTATATTGTGTGGATACTCCGCAGGTTCGTAAACACCTGTATTTAAGCTTTAGCATATGAATTTTTAGTAGGAAAGTAGCACTTGCTGCGTAACTGGTACTTTACCGCCAAAAGATGTGGCACTTGAGTAGTCAGACGCCCGAAATCAGTGATCAGTGATTTAGTGCTTTGAGCAGTGAATATTTTTAAAGCACTTTTACTACACACACACATATGTACATGTATCTATGTGACTAGACGCGTAGTGCCGCATAGTCGGTGTAAATCGACCGTGACGTACTATCTTGTTTTTCTTCGCCAATCGGTTTTGCGCCTAAATTACACAAACAAACTGAAACTTGAAACGGGGCGAAAGCAGATGTGAGAGTGAAAGTCGAGTGAAAGCAGCCTAGAAATGTGCTGGAATAGCGGGGCAGTCTTGCGGACTCCTTAGCCGGAGCTAAGCGAGCATAACAAAAGTTGAGCTCGGCTAAAGAAAGTGGCAAAAACTTTTGGATATAAAGATACACGCACGAATTCTCATCCTCCGCCCTCCACACACACACACACACACACGAGCACACTACATAAGCGAGGATGTGACATTTTTTACCGCTCCCCTTGGCTTCCTGTTTCCAGGTCCATTGTTGGGCACATTGCGTATACGAGGCGTACGCCCGGCGTCTGGTGGCCTGCAGCTGAACTGTAATTTATAATGTATTCGTAGGTATTGGCCAGAAGTGTGTGTGTACATAAAAGTGCAGACTGTGCTGCTGTCATCCTCGCAGAATGTTTTTGTGGAGTCCCACATTTGGATAGCTTCACTGCTTTCCTGGTTGTTCTTGCCGCAGGCGCCAAGAGTTTCCGGCAGAAAGTGAATGGCTTTCGGGCTTTTAAAGCATTCTCCAACGCATTGGAAATCGATTAACCAATCTTACGTGCGCTCGTGATCTGTCCATTTATTATGTGCACAAAATGGTCGCTTTGGCCTACCAAATGTGGCATTTGCCGAATTATTTACGGCTTAGTCTTGAAAAGTTCGCTGCGAATTGGTTTCGTTTGATTCTTTCGCTCTCGCACTTTCCCCCGCAAGCTTCATTGAATTTTTTAATATTATTCCAAGCCCATTCGCCCGCCCCCAGGGCCACGCCCCTGGTCTATGCTGCCTGGCTATTGGGCATTGTGGAAGCGATTTCCAATTCAGCGAAAGTGTCCCTCTGCCCCGCGCCACCGGAAAACATCGGCTTTTTTGGGCTGTTCGAAAATGTTCAATTTATGTATTTTGCGAGCATAAAGGCATTTAAAGTCAGTTGTCTGCCGGCAGCTGGTTGTCCTGCTGCTCCGCACCTTCGTCCTTTGCTCGTCCTGGCCTCTGGTTTATTTTAGAGCGGGAATAGAAAGAAAATTTCTATGCTATCGCCGTCTCTGCGCCTGTTGTTTGTGTGTTTTTGTGTTTGTGTGTGGTTTCTGCAGCAGGGCATAAAATAAATAAATTTATCTATTTGCACAGTCAAAGGCGAGCGCACACACAAAAACCCAAAGGGAAAAGCTTTCAGATGCTCTCTCCCTCGCATCCAAAGAAATGGACCAGGACAATGGCGGCAGGAGACAGGGACACCCACACACGCACATGCAGCGCACGCACACAAGGGCAAACACACACACACACAAGCAAACAAACAAACACACATAGCATTTTGATAATTGAGCTTCTGGTTTTTATAGTTTGCACGCTGATACGAAGAGAAAGCAAAGGATACCGCACAAACACACACACACATTGCATCGATTTGTGTCTAGGTACACGCAGAAAAACTTTCAGATCCGCTTTCAAAAAATAGGCTTTGTTTGCCGACTCAATGGTCATTATTGCTTTGAAAGTAGAGCCTTTGTCCAAAACAATGGATGTACGGGAATGTAAAAAAAGTATTTTAATACACAGAAACCGCAGGAAAGCAGGTGCTATGTGAATAATTTAACATTATTGTGGCGACTGCACACTATTTTAAAGCCCTCGAATTTACTATTATTCAGTATTACCAGAACTCCAACTCCAATGTCTTTGGTACTATGTATCTATGCTCTCCAATTTTCAGTGGATGGCAGGCGGGGAGTCCCCTTTTCTGAGGGCAGTAACTATTTGTACAAATCAGGGAACACACTCACATGTGAGGCGCTTGAGGGGTGGTGATTTGGCCAAAAGCTGAAATAAAACCCACTGGGAAGCGTTTCAACGCACTCTATACGGCGAAAAGTTCATCAGACTCCTGTGCAAACAGGGCCGAAGCTCGAATTTAAGCTAATCAGCTTGTCCAATTTTTGAAACCCTGCCAAAAATATCCTAAATGTTCTTTCCACCAATTGCAGTGAGGCTCTGTGGTCCAAGTTTCCTCACAGATTTTCCTGCCCGGAGAGGGTCAGCAGAATGTAGCTACGTCATTGGCTTGACAGGTCAAAAATTGAGTTTACAAAACTATGGCACGGGAAGTTCTTGGAGATTAAAATAGTTGCTACAAAACTGGCGCCCTTAACCGGCATTCTTTTCAATGATTTTCTGTTAGCAGAAAAGGAGGTGCTTGTTAATTAAGAGCAATATTGGCCAGAAAGCTGGAAAATTGAGGGTTTAGCAAGTGGCAGTAGTCTGTGTGCCTCCTTTCAGAGCAGAGCTCCTGCTGCAGTGCAGCACTCAACAAGTCGACGGCCAAGGACGCGTTAATTAGCCGTCATTACGCCAGCCCCGCCCCCCTGATCGCCGCCCACCCCGCAGGATTCGTTGTTGATATTTGCCTGTTTGTATTTGCTTATAAGCATTTGCCAGGTGGCATTGGCGTTCGGTGGTGGTGACGACTCGTCCGAGCGCCTGCCTGTGTATCCTGGATATCCTTGCAGCCAACTGTGTGTGCCATTTCCTTTATGCCTGTCAATTGCGAATTTTATTTACCAGTCTCGATTTATTTCATTTCGCTTCGCATCGCATCGCTCGCTCTGTTTTATTTGCCCCGCCACCGACTCTGATTTTTTTCTGAGTGCTGTTGGGCGTGCGAGGCGGCGAGGGTAATGAAGCGGAAGCGGAAACGAATTACTTTGTAGCAGTCGCAGCAGCCTTGACCTTGCACCCCACCGCCTCCCACCTCCTCCCACTCCTGCGACGGCGCCATGTGCGTCATGCATTCCACCAGGACTCGGGAGACGGGATCCCGCGCTCTGGAACCCATAAAAGACCCCGGGCCCTGACGCACGTGTCCTACGTTACAGGTCCTTCCGGCCCGCTCAGCTATTCGTCCTTTTCGTGCTGCCGCTGCGGCTGCTGCTCCTCGTTTTGGCTATTAAAAGTTTGACGGCCCCAGGCGTCACTTAAATTGTTAGTGAATTGAAAGTGGCCCCAAAATTGCTCAGTGGAGCAGCAGGGGCGTCGCCACTGCAAAACTTCTCTCTACCGCATTGGGCCCCAGATACATGGGCGCCAGGTAGTCAGGGACAACACGAAAGTGTCATTGAGCCCCACTTTGGGAACTTTGTCATTTAAGACGCCCAGTCTATCGCTGCTGTTTTTCCTGTTTCCTGGAGTTTGCTTTCGTCTAAAAATACTGGCATCCGCATTATTTTTAGGATCAAAAGTAAGGCTCAGTATACAAGCTGGCAAAAGTGCTTCCCAAAACACAAAACTCCGCAAAGCGATTTGATATGATATTGGGAGTTATTTTCGTACTGAGCATGTTAGTTAATGGTTGGTATCAACAACCTCCATCACAAAATAGTAAAATATTAATAAATATCAATAACATCCCAAAAAAGGGATGCTTAGGTACACAAAAATGGCGGATCTGGTCCGATTTGGTTTTGAGTTTTTTCGAGGACCCGACAAGTTGTGCCCCGATTAAGTGGTGTGTCCAATCCTCGGCCATCCTTCCCCATTGGCAAGTCAATTAGGAGCCCTTGACTTGCCACCTCCGCCCTCCGCTGAAGGGTTTCAGGACTGCGGCTTCAAAGGGAAAGGGTCCTTGCGAATGGGAGGGGAGCTGCAGGCTTTGCTCTATGCCAAACGAACGCGTGCCAGCCATTAAAAGCTTTTTAAAATTAATTATAAAACCGAAAGTAGACACAGGGAAAATTTGCCCAAATAAAACCAACGCAACCTGACAACCCTTTTCTCCGCTTTCCGCTCTCCGCTTTCCGCTTGCAAAATGGCAGGAGAACAGTCAGATCCTGTCAGCTCTGCTTCTTGCCAGCGTTTTTTATTTGCCAGGGCAAATTCAACTTCAAACAGATTTTTGATACTTCACTGGGCAACCGCAGAGTGGGCGGTGGGTGGTGGGCGGTGGATGGCAGGTGGCCTGGTGGGCGTGGCAGGCAGAGCATGCGTAACAAATTGTGCCCACTTTGTGGCGCAGGAAATAGTTGGCAACGAGCCCCCAACCTAAGTGTCAAACTGAGATGGCAAGTTTGCCTGATTTGGGTTCGCTTTCGAACTCCTGCTCCTTGGGCATTGGCTAAGCCCGCTTTCGGCCGGACAGCTTCATTATCGCCTCATTAGAGCCCAGAAATGCTTCTCGGGTCACTCCCTACTCAGTTAAACTCGTTATCCACGTACTGTTAAAAACTAGCTCCAGGTATTTCCACTTCGGGCAC